CATAAACAAAACAGAATTGTATTATACCCAAAAATGACGAGTTTCCTTGATGTTCAGACCTGTATTCCCGAACAAATAATTTATGTTCAGACCTATATTTCTGAACTTGAAAATATAAAACTCCTGCGAGAGTTAAAAATTTTAATTGTTAACTCACCATCATCCTAAAATAAATAACAGTACAAATTAAATTTCAAAATGTGATCAGTAAAACAAGTCCGAACCTATAAAAGATGTTCAATTACCTGTATCCGAACAAATAAACAATGTTTAAACTTGTATTCCCGAATTTCAGTCATATATTCAGGAATTCAATCTCAAAATAATGATAAACATATTTTATTATTTTTGCTCTTTTTTTCAAAAAACTTATACTTACAGGGCCAACTTCCTCCAAGCTAAGAACAATATTAAAGCTACGACCCTCCTTTTAATTTTTGTTATTGTATTCCTCTCGTCTTATGGAGTTGTTGCCAAAAAAATTCCACTCATTGTCATTGCAGAGAAGTGTAGATACTCAAATGATTGCCACCGTTTTCGCCAAAATATTGTCGCAAAAATGTTTTCAAGATTTTGAGGATAAGAATGTTTTGAAGGTAGAATTTGAAAAAGATAAATGGATGATGATCAAGATGGATACTTTCATAAACCTTAATTCATTATATAGTGAGTATGTAGATTTAATTGTGAGATGATATGTCTCAAAATTAATAATGTCCTTTATAATAATTTTATTTGAGATTATTATTGTAATAAAAAAAATTAAAAATTAAAAAGTCTAAAATAAATTATTTTATGAGATGCTAGTAGCACTCCAAAAGAAAAGGAAAACTTTGGGCAACGTTTTCTGTTTTTTGTGTGCGCGCTGATCGGCAACGAAAAGATTCCTATTAAATAAAAGACAAAGTACAAGAGGACAAGGAATCATCTGAGGCAACAAATGAAAACATAAATCAGAATCAACCCAAAAGAAAGCCAAAACAAGAATTCCAAAACAAAGCGAAAACAAAATTTTCAAACTCAATCATAATTTTAAAACTCACGATTCAAAATACAACTCTATTCTCAAATCAAAATTCTAAAACTCTACCAAACGCTACCTGTCATTCGCATACAACCTTCCAATATTTGGAAATCAAAAAGAGAGGAGCCCCGCTGATAGAGGGGAGGCCCAAAAGGGTGCCAAACTACAAACTCTATCCCACAGGACAGAATCCACATTAGGTACCTAGTCAGTCGTTCCACAATTGGCTATCCTTCTGTCCTAAAAAGACCCAGGTTGATACCAAATCAATGAGCCTGACCACAGCTGCAGGGGCATAATAATAGTTGTATTTGATCATCCATGTGTTTTCAGTGTCCGTTTCAGTATCCATTAGTGCCTCTTCATCTTTTGTTATTAGAAAAACAAATTCATCTAAAAGGAACATGTTGCATTGGAACAAAACCCGACAACTAAGGACAACATGGACAAATTATTCAATACTCTTAAAGCAAATCCAGATTTTTTCCACAGAAAAAATAAAAAAAATTGGGATAGTAAATAGAGTTTGAGAAGTACTCCAAAGAGCACTAAATAATTTGTCAACAATATGTTAGGGCACTCTAAGACCCTCTTTTCACATCAAAAGAAGAGTAGTGCTATTAGCACTCTATGAATTATTTTGGACCTTTCATTTTTTTGGACCTCACTTATAAATTTTGAAACCCTTAAAATTTCTTTTATCCCCCCAAATAATACCAAAATTATCCTTAAACATTCCACCTATTGAATGCACACCGTACACACCTTCCAAAAAAACCTCCCTTCCAAAAAATCCTAGTAAAACCCACTAAGAAGAAGTAGAAGAAGAAGAATACTGTCTATGTTCATATTAACTATAACATGGTATAACCTTTTGACTAACTGAGAGAGAGAGATCTTTATTTTTTGTTTTTTTATCTCGTTTGGGGATCAACGGCTCTTGTTTAACATGGTATAGCCTTTTGTTGTGCTCTTGTTTCTACCATAACATATCCTCCCTTTCTTCTCACTATCTGTCTTAGGTCTATTGCAGTGTGGGTGGGTGTGCGTGGTGAGAATTGAGGAAGAGCCATAAACAAAACAGAATTGTATTATACCCAAAAATGACGAGTTTCCTTGATGTTCAGACCTGTATTCCCGAACAAATAATTTATGTTCAGACCTATATTTCTGAACTTGAAAATATAAAACTCCTGCGAGAGTTAAAAATTTTAATTGTTAACTCACCATCATCCTAAAATAAATAACAGTACAAATTAAATTTCAAAATGTGATCAGTAAAACAAGTCCGAACCTATAAAAGATGTTCAATTACCTGTATCCGAACAAATAAACAATGTTTAAACTTGTATTCCCGAATTTCAGTCATATATTCAGGAATTCAATCTCAAAATAATGATAAACATATTTTATTATTTTTGCTCTTTTTTTCAAAAAACTTATACTTACAAGGCCAATTTCCTCCAAGCTAAGAACAATATTAAAGCTACGACCCTCCTTTTAATTTTTGTTATTGTATTCCTCTCGTCTTATGGAGTTGTTGCCAAAAAAATTCCACTCATTGTCATTGTAGAGAAGTTTAGATACTCAAATGATTGCCACCGTTTTCGCCAAAATATTGTCGCAAAAATATTTTCAAGATTTTGAGGATAAGAATGTTTTGAAGGTAGAATTTGAAAAAGATAAATGGATGATGATCAAGATGGATACTTTCATAAACCTTAATTCATTATATAGTGAGTATGTAGATTTAATTGTGAGATGATATGTCTCAAAATTAATAATGTCCTTTATAATAATTTTATTTGAGATTATTATTGTAATAAAAAAAATTAAAAATTAAAAAGTCTAAAATAAATTATTTTATGAGATGCTAGTAGCACTCCAAAAGAAAAGGAAAACTTTGGGCAACGTTTTCTGTTTTTTGTGTGCGCGCTGATCGGCAACGAAAAGATTCCTATTAAATAAAAGAAAAAGTACAAGAGGACAAGGAATCATCTGAGGCAACAAATGAAAACATAAATCAGAATCAACCCAAAAGAAAGCCAAAACAAGAATTCCAAAACAAAGCGAAAACAAAATTTTCAAACTCAATCATAATTTTAAAACTCACGATTCAAAATACAACTCTATTCTCAAATCAAAATTCTAAAACTCTACCAAACGCTACCTGTCATTCGCATACAACCTTCCAATATTTGGAAATCAAAAAGAGAGGAGCCCCGCTGATAGAGGGGAGGCCCAAAAGGGTGCCAAACTACAAACTCTATCCCACAGGACAGAATCCACATTAGGTACCTAGTCAGTCGTTCCACAATTGGCTATCCTTCTGTCCTAAAAAGACCCAGGTTGATACCAAATCAATGAGCCTGACCACAGCTGCAGGGGCATAATAATAGTTGTATTTGATCATCCATGTGTTTTCAGTGTCCGTTTCAGTATCCATTAGTGCCTCTTCATCTTTTGTTATTAGAAAAACAAATTCATCTAAAAGGAACATGTTGCATTGGAACAAAACCCGACATGTAAGGACAACATGGACAAATTATTCAATACTCTTAAAGCAAATCCAGATTTTTTCCACAGAAAAAATAAAAAAAATTGGGATAGTAAATAGAGTTTGAGAAGTACTCCAAAGAGCACTAAATAATTTGTCAACAATATGTTAGGGCACTCTAAGACCCTCTTTTCACATCAAAAGAAGAGTAGTGCTATTAGCACTCTATGAATTATTTTGGACCTTTCATTTTTTTGGACCTCACTTATAAATTTTGAAACCCTTAAAATTTCTTTTATCCCCCCAAATAAGAAGAAGAATTCTATAACAAAATACTTTACAATCTACAATAATGCATAAAAAGTGATGAAAAATATTTAACAAAGTTAGATATGAAAATAGATTAAGAACTAAAAAGAGCAACTTAACCGAATGATAAGGTTTATCGTTAGCATCCCTGGTAGAGCGGATTCGAATAACAAAAATAATCTCTCCAAAAATTGGGATAAAGTTGCAATCATCTTACCCTCCTTAAACTCTACTAAAACTAAGTTTGTTTTTCTGACTAGTTAATTTTCTTAAATTACTACAATATTTGAATGTTTGTTTCCTAATTTTTTTTTTTTTTGTCTATTTGATTTAATACTACTTAATTTTTATTATTTATTTTGACCACATAAATGGGTATTTAGACAATAAACATAAAATTTACAATAAAATATGTCATACAATACAAAACAAGACTTGTAAATAGGATCGGATTCGGATCGGGATTCCACGATCCTATAAGATCCCATTACCAGGATCGAAAGATCCTTATATCCTACCTATAAGGATTTTTTTACACGATCCGGATCGATTATACTCAAATGGATCGTAAGATCGTAGGATCGTAAGATCTGGATCGGGATTCTGATAACCATGGAAACAATGAGAAATTCAAAGCTAAGAAAACTCGAGTGACAAGGTTTGCTAGGATCTAAGAAGTATGGACACGGACACGCGGGCCACAAGCACGAAATATATAATTTTATATATTTATTATATTGTTTATATATAAATATATTATTCAAAGATAATAAAAAATGTAATATAATACTTATTTTCTAAATTTACGTTGTTTTTTCCATTTATTATTGTATCATAAGTTATTTAGTTCAAATTTATAATTATTGTCATGCGTGTCTAATTGATGGATGTGTATTTAAGCAATGGACAGGTATGTCCTCCAAGCGTTTGAATCTAAAAAAACTTTTTTAAAAAAAGGACGCGTTTTGACAAGTGTCGGACCCGTGTCCGGAAGTGTCCAACGATTGTCGGTATTCGGCACGAACATGACACGGATATGCTACCTTCTTAGAAGTGTCCGTACTTTTTAAGCTAGGATTCAATAAATAGCATCAACTAAAGCAGATATACAAACAAAGATAATCTTATGTTCATAATAAAATTTTATTTTAATTATTAATTAATAATTACCATCTGATTCTGAGCCATCTCTCTTGTGAAGTGGTATACATGAATCAGGCGATGAAGAGGACCAAGATTTGTCTCTTCTTCTGGAATCTGCAACAAAGAGAAAACATAAGCTGGTAGCAATATAACAACAATTCTTAGTTTGTCAGACCTATCCTTCCATTCATTAACTTCAGATGCACATTGCATATCTTTACACACCCAAAAAAGTAACAATAAAATTGCATAGTAGAATTCTTTGTAAGTTCGATAAAGAAATTTTTTTCATTTCAAGTTTTTTTTGATGTCACTCAAGTAGTAATCCTTGAAGCCCCCTCGAAATCAAAGCTAATCACCAACTGGTGGCTTCCAAACTAACAATATAACGAAATTTAGAGAACATATTATTAATCAGCTATAAACCATGGACTCAGAACAGAACAGTGAAAGACAAATTCAAAACAGCAGTTTCAATTGAATTCATCAGAACAGTGAAAGACCAAGGGAAGTCAGGTCCACCTTATAAAGACAGCACCTTTTACCATCTGTGGAAACAGTTTTGTGATACTGAAGCATAAAGTGAACATGCAACCACATGTGTACCCAAACACAGTAGAGAGAGAGAGAGAGAGCAAACCTCTTCTGCACGTAATGTCCAATACTGATCATTTATGTTCTCAATCTTTTCATTGGCAGGAAAAATCTGCATGTATATGATGACTAAATTAAGGGCTAGCAAACTACAAAAGGGTTTTAGAAAATAGCAAGCATGGTCTCAAACATGTATCTGAAAGTCAGGAACAGCAGCTTTGTGCAAAGGCAGGTCCAAGAGAATTTAGGAGGCTTAAAGCCATCTATTCCTCAAATATGAAGTTCCTTTTTTTTTTGGGGGGGTTAATTACACCAAGATCCCCTCAACTATTAGTGAATATCACTTTTTACCTTTAAATTCGTACATTTTGACCCCCTCAACTATAATAATACATATTTTTCACCCCTCCAAAATGAGGGCATTTGTACGGTTTTTTTTTTTAATTTTATTTATAATTGACAGGGGTCAAAACGTATAGGTTCATAAATGAGGGGAGTAAAGTGATATTCATATAGTTGAGGGGATTAACCCCTCTTTTTGGTTTAGTTAAGATAGAAGGATTATCCATGACACAATCAGGCATAAAAGGATCAGTGATGATGCAGTTGCTTCAATTAACAACTTATGGTGTACATCATAAAACAAAGTCAGAGTTCTACTTTCATTGTCTCTAGATTATAAGAGCATGAACACTTCTAAGACGGTGATAAGTCTGTGTCGGGCAAGTGTCAAACACACATCCAAACATGTCCTACTGTAAGAATTTATGTATTATTGATTGATATATGTTGTTGTGTATATTACAAATGGTGAGTGGCTCATTATATAGGAGAGGGTGAGTGTAGTAGGTGAGGAGTAGGTGGTGGTAGGTGACGGTAAATTGGTGGTAGGTAGGTGATGGTAAATTTTAACAGTCCCCCGCAAAACAGGGGTCAAAACGTATAGGTTCATAAATGAGGGGAGTAAAGTGATATTCATATAGTTGAGGGGATTAACCCCTCTTTTTGGTTTAGTTAAGATAGAAGGATTATCCATGACACAATCAGGCATAAAAGGATCAGTGATGATGCAGTTGCTTCAATTAACAACTTATGGTGTACATCATAAAACAAAGTCAGAGTTCTACTTTCATTGTCTCTAGATTATAAGAGCATGAACACTTCTAAGACGGTGATAAGTCTGTGTCGGGCAAGTGTCAAACACACATCCAAACATGTCCTACAATATTTTTTTTAATAAAAATTTAAGGCTGAAATACGCTTTGAACACTTGGGGACACATGTGTCCATCCCTTAACAAATACAAGTATGAAGAAATTTACTTGGGATTAAATGATAAAATATATATATTTATTTATACATATTAACCTTACTCCTGTAAAGAGTTAGTGTTGTGTTGTATCTTTTATTCTCTTTAAATGAAACATTCATGTATACAACATATAATAAATATATGAAATTATATATATATTTTTTGTGCATCTCACTTATCCTGTCTTGCAATTTTTAGAAAACTTCCATGTCGATGTGTCTGTGCTTCTTAGCTCTTTGATAGGAAAATAAAAATAAAAAGCAATTATAGCATACAAAGATGAAGCTAAACACCTTATAAATCTTGTGGTAGAAAACTTCAAGCAATCTGAGTTCTGCATTTGGACGAGACAACTCAACCTGTTCAAATTACACAAATGTAATAAGCACAAGAAAAAAATGGCTCAAGTTTTCAAAGATGAATACATAAAAGTCGTTTTACGTCTCATAAGGCTATGCATAAGCCTTTTGAGTTTTTATTTTTTAGAAGTTTATAAAATATTAAATTCATTAAAAATAGCATAAAAAGAGTTTAAAAAAAAATAGAAAATAAAATTCATAAAAACCATTCCAGTCATAAAATTCATCCAAGGTATCTATGATGGAAAGGATCCATCATCTATTCCCCCAACTTCCATACAAGCAAAACCAAAAAGAATTTAACTGAAGCAAAGATAAAAAGCATGGACACTTCTAAGAAGATGACATATCCGTGTCGTGTCTGTGTCGGACACCAACACTCTTTGGACACTTCCCCTACACGTGTCCAACACTCTTCAAAACCTGTCCTATTTTTTAATATTTTTTAAAAATCCAAACACTCTTTAGACATTTAGGCCATGTTTGTTTGGGCGGACTGGATTAGCATTTCCATGACTAATAGTCCTAGGACTACGAATCCATTGGATTATGTATCTTATCTTAACTAATAGTCAAGTTTAAAATAATTAGTCCGTACTTTAATTGTTTAACCAAACATTAGATTAATAATTTTATTGGACTATTAGTCCAATCCCAAGCTCATGTCCACCCAAACAAACATGGCCTTAGAGGACACGTGTGTATCGTTTAAACACACATGTATATCGATTAGACACATGTGAAACTAATTACAAGTTTCAACAAAACAACTTAAGATACAATAATAAAACAAAAAACATATAAATTTATAGGAATTAGTGTCATATTGCATTTTTTATTATCTTTGAATGATATATTCATCTATATAACATATAATAAAAATATAGAATTATATATTTCATGCGTGTCCCCCACATGTCGTGTCCTGTATTTTTTGAAAATTAGTGTGTCGGCATGTCTATGTCGTATCCGTGTTATGTTAAATGTCCGTGCCCATGCTTCTTAGAAGATAAATTAAAAAATGATTTTAGAATAGCAAAACTAAAGACAAATTAATTGAGTTCCAAATGTTTTGCAAAAGCCCTAAATTGAACTAGAGGGAGATGGACGGGGGAAAAAGAGAATACCTATTCAATTGCGAATCAAACCATTGCTGCAAGCCCTAAATCGCAAATCAAAGCAGAGTTCAACTACCCCTGATTCAGTTAATCTTATGGTTCAAAACCCTAGGTTGAGTTCATCTTCTCACTTCTGGTTCGAAAGCCCCAGGTCAACTTTAGGTTTGGAAAAGTAGTGTAATATGTGATTTGGGAGCAAATTAAGTGTCTTCTAAGTTCTCTTATGAACTAAAACATAAAACAATTCTTACTTATTCCTTTTTTAATTTTTATTTTTTACAGCCTATGGTAAATATGTATAGGTAGCGTGCTGACTCCGCGAGTGCACATCGATCAACTTGTCCACTTGCACAATTGTTTCTACAACAATCAAGTGGTTACTTCCTTAGGAGATGCTTTTTGGTTGTCTGATACCTAAAGTTCAATCAGTGAACAGCAGCGCCACCTTTTTGATCGAACACCATCCCCAATTGGTTTGGAAAATCTTGCAAGTGCATCATGCATACAAATTTATTTATTTTTTGTATCCCTAATTCTTATGTATATTATATGAAATTTACTCTAAAAAATTGTTGACATTTTATCTATTCGAAATAGCTCTTGGGTATTCGGGAACTAGTGGTCGCTTATTTTTCCAACAGAGCACCTTATCACATTATGAGTGAAAGGTGCAACTTTTACCCTTGAGGTGAACACCTAATCAGAAAGATGTATGCATAATAGGTGTATCGCTTAAAGTTCAACACCTCAGTGCCTTTTGAGTGCACCTCACCTCTATGCACAACTCATAAATGTCTTTTTCACCAATAATATACAATACAGACTATAGCAGGCAAAAACCACGACATAATAGCCCTATAAATTACCTTTGCCCTAAGTTCATTAATAACATCACCCACAGTGCTTTGTTTTGGCAGTCTAATAGTGTGAATGGACACCTGAAAAAAAAATGAAAACAATTTTATAATATTTGGTTAGGGTAGCAAAATCTGAAGATAATGAAAATGAAAACGATTTGGTCTGCATACTAACTTCATCTTTTGAAGCATTGTGAAAAGCAACTTTAAGCGTTTTCAGACCTTGCAATTCTGGCAGAGGTAAATCCAATACTTCATAGTACAATATATCAGAAGTCTGTTGCAATTCAAATAATTTCATTAAAATTTCCGGTTCTCACACCATGTAATACCCAGGGCAATGTTATGAATTACCTGATTGTAGTGGACAAGCATGTCTGACAAATGGTCTACCCCCCGGTACTTAATTGGCTGGGGTTTGGGTTGCTGAGAGTAACAGTTATGAGGTGTAAGCCTGATTTTAGATGGATCATCCAAGTCAAGTTGGCGAGCTACTCGTTCCACAACATCGTCATATGTATGAAGTTTTGACCTTGACATTTAAGTAAATATGTTATGAATAAGAATGCAGGAAGTAGGCTATTATTGGCTAATAATGCAATCATTGATATTCTTAAGATAGAAAGGAAAAAAAAATAAAAACAAATTCCTTGACCTTGACAATTTTTATTTATTTATTTATTCACTTACAATTCTAGACAAAAATCATCCTCCTTGGGCTTTTCCAGGGCTCGAAAGTGAACAACCTGAAAAACATCAAACATGTACATTACAATAAGTTGGAGAAAGGGTCATCAAAGATTGAGTCACACTATGAATACTCGGCTCCCACCCCCCCCCCCCCCCAAAAAAAAAAAAATAAAAAAAAAAACAAAAAAAATAAATAAATAAAATAATGCAACACAAGGTTTATAAATCTGTTGAGAGGAATTGAAGAGCACATAGCATGGCATATTACTGTATCACAAATTTTTATTTATTTATTTATTTTTTTAAATTCCTCCTGTTGTGTTAATCTTTACACAATACCAATAATATTCAGTGATAGTACAGTGTTGAAGAAAATTTCATTTTAGAGATATAATATCAAGACAAAAACCAGACCAATTAAACTAAGGGTTTAAGCCTTAAAGGTCTTCATTCAAGGCTATCCCATAAAGACTCCAGTCAACACAATGGTAAACTATACACCTCGAATTTATGGCTCAACATCAGTAAACTGATTAAGCTCCACTAAAGCATACTGAGTTATGTTTCTATAAAAAAGAAAAAACCAAACCAAACCAAACCAAACCAAACTAAACTAAGCCTTGTATCCGAATCAAGTGAGGTCAGCTACATGAATCATTTTTCCTATATTTCACTCGATCAAGAGCTATATGTTCAATTAAATAAAATGTCAGTTTAGGTCTTCTCATCCCGTAATATTTCCATTTAGGATTATCATATCACTTTTCTACCGTTGCATCTACTAGTCATTGTTGTACATGACTAAACCATCTTAGTTTTTTCTCTCTCAATTTATCCTCAATTGGTGCTAATCCTACCATTTCACGAATATATCCATTTCTCTCTCAATTTATCCTCAATTGGTGCTAATCCTACCATTTCACGAATATATCCATTTCTGGTTATATCTTTCTAGTCTGACCATATAAACATGCAAGTATCCTTATATCAACTACACTCATTTTATGAACGAGTTGTTTCTTAGTTGCCTAATATTATGTCCCATAAAGCATCTACACTTATAATTGTTCTATAAAAATTTCCTTTCCAATTTTGTTGGTATTCATCGTCAATCACATCATACGCTAGAAGCAAACCCCCACTTGAGCCAATCTATTTTGATGGGTCACATCATCTATAAAGTTCTCCATCCTTATTAACAGTTGAACCCAAGTAACGAAATTGATCACTCTTTATTATCTACAAGTTTTTTTTCTTCTTCACTTTTCCATTATTACTACTTCTATTGTTACCAAAGATACATTGTATATATTCAGTTTGAGTCTTACTTTAAACATTTTTTTACTCAAGTGCTTCTCTCCCTATTTTTAATTTAGTATTGATTTCTCCCTTAGTTTCATCTATTAGAATATATCATCTTTGAACAACATAAACCATGGGGCATCATCCAAAATGTATTCAGTTAATTCATAAACCATGGGACATCATCCAAAATGTATTCAGTTAATTCATTACAGACTTGAGACAATTAGGCAAGGACTTAAAGTTGATCATACAATTCTACATTGATTGAAAAGTCATCAATTTCTCTTGTAGGTGATGTAATTGTAGTTACAACCCCATCATACATATATCATTTATCGCATCAACATACCCTTTTTGTTTTTTGGATAAATGCATCAACATACCCTTTTCTCACACCCATTTCTCTAAAACACCATATTATATTTCTACGAATCCTATTGCAAGCCTTTCCAAAATTAATAAAAAAAACTTATGAAGATCCCTCCTATTTTCTATAATTTTCTACAAATCATAGCAATTATATTTGCTTTCCTAGTTGATCTGCTGAGAATAAATCCAAACTGATTCTCTAACACTATCTTTGCAACTCTTCAACAATGCTCAATCAGTCTCCCAAAATTTAATTGTATGACTTATCAATGCAAATGTCTCTAGAGTTGTAGCAATTTTAAATATCTAGGTACCAAAATACATTTTCACCATTTGCTTAACATTTTCCTAGTCATCAAAAATCTTATTAATTAATTTTGTTAACACACACACCCCCCCCCCCCCCTCTCCCCCCAAGTATTTCCAATCCTCAATAGAGATGTAATTTGGTCCTAATATCTTGCCTCGTTTCATCTTTTTCAGTGCAAGTTCCACCTCAATTCTCTTATTTCACAATAAAACTCGTATTTTCTAGTTTCGTCAATACTATCATATTCCTTTCCTCTTAAGCTTTCTAAGGCCAAGTTTGGCATATTGCAAAGAAGCCAAAAAGCCAAAAAGTTACTCAAAAAGTTAACACTATTCACCAAAAGTCAACAATTACGGCTACACAACTCCCAATCCTAATTTTTCCCTACAAATCAATTTTTTCAATTTTTTATTACACATTTTTCCATAAAAAGTCAAAAAGTTGACCCAAACATCTATATTTTCTTCCTCAATTTTTTAGTCCAAAAAGTGCACTTATTTAGGACACCCCAAACAACCCCTAAATATTTTTCATTTCACAAAATTTCAAAATAACTTTCTCATCTTTACTTGATCTCCTCATCCTTCACTAACAATTTCAAATCTTCACTTTTTATACACTTAAATCTTATTAAAAGTCTCTTGTTTTTATTTATCTCAAGTTAAAAATTCGTAAATATACTTTTTTCTATCTTTATTGCTTAATCTAATATAAAGATTGTTGTTGTTGTTGCTGTTTTGTTTTGTTTTTTTTTTTTTTTTTTTTTTTCTGATGATAAATAATCTAATATAAAAATTGTTGTAGGCATTCGACCATTATATTCCATATATTATTAGTATCATCTTCCAAATCCACGTTTCTCTTTTAGACTTTTTATCTTAAGCATTTCTAATTTTTTGCCAATAAAAAAATTATAATTTCTCACCTTTAGATTCAAATTCAACCTCGTAGTTAATGGTTTTCAATATATTTTCTTATTCAATATTGCAATATATTTAGTGTGGTTAGTCTATGTAGTGATCTCATTAGAGATAACCTTGCAATCTTTACATATCAAGTGTTCTGCTCTCTTTTTAAATAAAGTATTGGTAACTACAATATGTTTCCAATCTAAAAGGCAAATTTCTTGGAATTGATAAAACTCTTTCGATACAAGGCCTTGTTTGGGAAAGGCTAAAAAATGGCTTTTTAGGCTAAAATTCACAATAAGATAAATGTCACATCATTCCCATAATCATTTCACTTTTCTCTCACAAACATCACATCCAAGTACAAAAAAATCCAACCGTCTTCCCAAACACACAAATTTTAGCCTACTGAAATAGCCAAAAATTAAAATAATCTACTAAAATAGCCAACTTCCCAAACAAGGCCAAAGTGTATCGCATGGAAATCAACCATTTGCATGATTATTTGATAGAAAGAAATCACAAAAAATGTATGTTGTTGTCATATACTATTGTCAAATCTAAGATAATATCTCCAGCCTCGTCTAGTCACCAAAACCATATCTACTATGCCCCATCTCGTACCCTTGCTTATCTTTTCCTACATAACTGTTAAAATGTCCACCTATAATTATCTTCTCTTCTACAGGTATATCTTGCATTAGCTAATCCATTTGATTCCAATCCTTTCATATGTTCATCCAATTCTATTTGGAGTGCATACGTGCTAACCACATCAATTATATTTTCATTAACTGCAAGTTTAATTAGCATTATTATGTCTCATTTTCCTATAACTGTTACTATATTATGTTTAATATGTTCAACCATAACTATTCCTCCAACATTTCTATATCTATCTTTTTGGGTATAGTAAATTTTATACCTAATACTTCTATTTCCTTTGTTTTCTCCCCTACTCACTTGGTTTCTTGTAAGCATCATATACCAACTTTCCTTTTAATCATAGTATCTACTAATTTCATTGTTTTACTTATTAACGTTCATATATTCCAAGTTGATGTACAATACAATCCCTGAGGGAGTCGGTCACATCCACAACCAGTCCCAATCTTTAAGATACAACCTAGGTCCTCTTCAATTACAAACCATCAACCAAAAATGACAAGAAGTTAAGCCCGAAAAATAAACAATCTAACGTAGCAATGCTAAAGCTTTTTGCAATTTTGGGTTCTTCGACCCTTTTTTTAAGGTAAATTACACTTATATTTCCTGAGGTTTAGCATAATTGTTGGGACCTCTCTTGTGGCTTGAGAAATTACTCTAACCTTCCTTACTTTTGAAGCTAATATACAAAGACCCCTTTCCGTTACCCATCCGTCAAAAATCAAATAGATTTTGTTGATGTCATCCATAATTATTCTACAAATCCCAATACTAACCATCAGCTACTTAACATATTGAAGAATACATTACACTTACCTCCCCCTCCATATATATCTATGTGAATCATGCTATAATACACATTCTCAAAATAGTGTACCATATGCAAGTTACAACATTTATGGTGTTTATAATTAAATCTTTTTCAGCCATAAATAATTTTAAAAAATTCATAACCAAATACCACATAAGGTATAATTAAAAACCTTTTGGATCATAACCAAAATAATAATCACAATAGTTTATAATCAACATCACAATGAGCCATAACTAACACCATAATGAGTCATAACCAACATCACAATAGATCATAATCAAATATCACAAATGTCATAACCGGGGCATATGATCCTATATATATGCGTTTGTGTTAACTTTTAAATCTAAGTGACTAAATATATATTCAATTTTTTCCTTGTCTTTTTTATATAGTTTCTTTTATTTATTTATTTATTTTACAGTTTTTCCACATTGTCTCTCTTTATAGAAACTCATTCTACACACTTACTATTTCTCCTCAACATTTCACTGATAGGGTTATTGATAACCACCAATGCAACCACAATGCATTATCTAATCCCATTGTCAAATAAATTCTCCAAACTTCATCAACAATTCAACACACATACATATACACAAATAAATTCCCCCATTCTTAGAGTAACTTTTGGGGCTTTGAGTCTTTGAGTTGATCAGTTACAATCGTAGCTACGGCTAGAAGAGAAGAAAGAGAGAAAATGGTTAGTGATCTATGGTTGCAAAATTATGTTTTTTTAAAAAAAAAATTGTGTCTGCAAAAGGAATGAGAAAGAGCCAAGGATAAATAAGTCATTTTATTATCAATTTTAACATTGTTTAAGCCAAAGTTGGGAGCTTCTATTTGCACATCCCTATTCCCCTCTTTACACACACTTAATAAAAATTATTTTTATTATAATTTTATTTTTAGGTGAAATTACTATTATGGACATTAAATAAATACATTCAGAAGTTGAATGTCAAAAAAATAAAAAAAAATCGGAACTCTACTTTTGAACAAGTTATTTCTTTTCAGAATGCTACTTCCTAACCAATTGTTTATTTTCGGAAATCTACTTCCGAACCAATTATTTATTGAAAAAGATGTGTAAAAAAGGGAATGGGTGTGTGCAAATAGAAACTCCCGCCAAAGTTGACCCAAGGGGGAATCTTGATATTAGTTTCAAAAGTAAAGGAGGTTAGAGTAATTTTTCAAATCACAAGGAAGGTCCCTGCAATTATGCTAAACCTTAGGGGAGGTAAGTGTAATTTACCCTTTTTTTATTTTTAAAATTCAAAATAAACAAATAGTGTACGGACAAAGTTTTTCAGCAAACTATGGTAAAACGTGGTTAGCAATCTCGTGCTAACAATGTTTTTTACTTGAATGTAAACACTTGTGGAAAAAATCAAACACGAAAAGATAGTTCAGATAGTGTCATGCGTTTAAGAAAAAACGCAACGTTTCACCATAGTTTGGGAATAAAGTTCGTCCGCACATTATTGCTTAATTTTTATTTTTAAAAATAAAAAAAAGGGTTACAAGCCCTGCAATTTTGACTTCTACACAAGTTTCCTGACTCTTTCGATTCTTTTATAGATTTGACAGGTGATATGAGCTCCTTGTTTGGAGATTAGTTTTCATTTCTTTTCCTTCCCTCCCCCCTTTTCTTGCTCCTGTACACATTGTGCACACATAGTTCAATTTTTTTTCAAAGTTATTATCCCAATTTCCAGACCCATCCACAACTGCACAAACATAACTAGGACAGAGGAACTAGGACAAAGGAATCCATACGAAGTCAATACATTAAAAAAACTACTCACAAAATACTGAAAAATGCATACACAAGCATACGAAAATAAAAAAGTGCACACTAATTTGAACTCGTTTCCAGCTAGACTCTGGTATGTTTATAAGATTTCTGCAGCCATAGGTTTTTCAAACTAAGAAGGTATTGCCAACAGCAACGGTAGTTTTTACTAGCTTAAGAGCCCAAGTAAATGAGTATCCGAGAAACTGAACAAGATAATGAAGCATGGTGCAGCCTTCTGCATTCTAACCCACAACAAATCTGCATCTGATCATCTTGTGCACCATCTACTACCAATTCATATGAGAGTAAAAAAAGGGCTCTACTCCAGTGGTATAGGGGTGTGGTAGGTCAGGGTAGGTAATATTAGGCGTGACCATGCCTGGACCGAAAGACAAACAAAAAGGAAATTCACTGTATAGAGATCTCAATATAAGCATACTTATATAGAAATTTTCAGAGAGGAATACCTGCCGATTGTGCACATATTCCAAAAATGAAGGGACATCTGGATAGCGGACCTGATGACCAGTCTCAACTGGAAGAGATTTTTGAAAACAAACTATATCCCCATCTTCAAGCTGCACACAAAGGTAACAAAGTCAATAGCAAAAGCCTCTATGCAACAAAACCATACAATGAACGATGAAAAACTTGTACCTGGCTAGATCGAAATGCAAATTTCTTGTCAATGGGTTCACACATCACAGTGGGCTCAAACTTTATCTCCTGAACATAACAATGCCCTAATTAAGAAGCTTTCAGATATAACAATGCAAGACATGCAATTCTAGGGAAACCAAAGTGAAGCAAGCATGGAAAAAAGAATAGGTGCAAACTGAGAATTTCATATAGGCCTTGTATGTAAATTCATTCATGAAACTAGCTTTTATTATAATGTCTTGTGGTAATTTATTATGTATAGTTAGTTGGCTGCTTCCATACTTCTGCTTATAATTTAATGATTTACAAGCTTCCAAAAAAATGGCCATTTTAACAAACGGCAGATTTTCCGGACACTGGCCTATGTTACATGAACCCAGGTGCAAGTGCCAGGTGAGGGTGCATATCTAGGGTTTGGGACCCATCAAACCTTTAATTGAAGGATACATGATGTGGGGAAAAAAATATCATATTTTCACATTTTTAATCTATTTTGTGGATGAAAAGGCACTTTATTCATTTTATAGTAATTATGCAGCAAAAAATACATATACTGATATTGTTAAAAACAATTATATGACAAATTGAATTGATTTATGTACTTGCAAAGCGCATATCTGATTGGAAGTATTGGGCACATATCTCATACCCTTATCTAGGTGTCAAGTTTTTGACATGGATACTCGATTTATTTTTGAAGAGTACAAGTAACATAGTTCCCCCCGCCCATGGTCAATAATATTGGTAATGTTATTAGGTAATTTGAAGAGTCTTTAGTAATTTGGAATGGTCTTATTAGTCAACATTCCTTAGTTTCCAATTTGAAATCTCATTCTAGTAAAATTAAGAGTCTGGCAATTCCAAACATTAGATGAAGTTTGGGAATTATTTTGAGCATTTATTTGTGTTTATTTTAATTTTAGTATCCTATTGGACAAACTTTATATCATTATTTTTTAATACCATTATAACCTTAAATCAAATTTATTTGTGTTTATTTTAATTTTAGTATCCTATTGGACAAACTTTATATCATTATTTTTTAATACCATTATAACCTTAAATCAAAATACCAAAAAGGACAAAAACTAAAACCCTAAAACTCTACCTATTTCAGCTTCGGCCGCTGCCATCTTCGGCAACCACCCTAGCCTCCTCCCCAGCTCCCTTGCCAGCCCCCACCCCTCCCCACCTTCGGCCACCACAACCCTAGCCCCTTCCTACCCTCCACAGCCACCACCTTCCCAACACCATCACTACGACCCAACCCCCCTCCCCAATGCCACCATCACAACCCAACCACCCTCCTCCTCCTTCGCTAAATCCTAAATCAGAAAACCAAGATCTATTCTCTCACTCTCTCTCTCTCTCTCTCTCTCTCTCTCGCAAGGATCACAGTGGGAGGGGGCATTTGAGGCAGGGAGGGAGGTCGCATATGACGGGGGAAGAGACCTTGTTGGGGGGTCGCGACAAAGGGGATGGGGTGCTAGGGGGTTGCGAGTGAGGGGGAAGGGCTGGGTGGGGGTGGCTTGAGGTAGGGTTTGGGGGTTAGGTTGGGGTAACATTGGAACAAATTAGGGTGTAAAAATAAAAACAAATCTCAAATTTGAAAATGAGGTGTTCACAGAGGTGGGTGTCCAACCAAATTTTTGAGGTGCATTTAGAGGCACCCATAGTAGTCATAGTCCATGGGCTGTAAATTAGGTCAAGTAATATTATTTTAATTTTACTTCTTGTCTTAGTTTAGAATATTTGTAGTCACCAAATATTCTGAGTTTGAAAATTTGAGTCATAGTCATTATAGAAGTAGGAGAATCTTTAATCTATAAATATATATGTAATCTCAACGATTCAATGGAGTTGATATTGTCGTAATTTAATATAGTGTTGTGTGAATTTGCCTAACCCTTGTGTGGGTGAAGCACCCGTCTTCTTCTCTTCTGTTAAAACCTATCACCTACTTCACCCACTTAAACCTACTCCACTAAACCTAACCCACTACACCACTACCACCTCACCTTCACCTACTCCTTACCTACTACTCACTCACCCTCTTCTATATATAGGAATCATGAATCATTGTAATAAATATAACATTATATCAATCAATAATACAATTCTCTATTTCTCTTTATACATTAAATTTCTACAGAGAGAGATTGCTTTTAGAAGCATGCATGATGCATAATCAAAGCAGAGGAAATATCATTTTGGTCTAAAGTCAGTTGTCTTTTCATTTATATGATTGGAAAGGAAAACATCTTTGACCTAACCCACTACACCACTACCACCTCCACTTCACCTACTCCTTACCTACTACACACTCACCCTCTTCTATATATAGGAATCATGAATCATTGTAATAAATATAACATTATATCAATCAATAATATAATTCTCTATTTCTCTTTATACATTAAATTTCTACATCTTCTTTGTGCACATATCCGAGTTACTATTCTCATGTTACTGGTCACAGCTATAGAACAGACCTTAAAACCCAAGCCAATCAAATTCAAATCATCTTCAACATCTTGTCTTACCCTTTGGCCACTAAATCCACATTAAATACCATAAAATAGTTGTTGGCCGAAAACAATCAAGCGACTACTTTCAGAAATCTTGTAACCTGCAACATTTGAAAATCCATCTCACACTAGCCTTACACATCTAGAAACCCTAGAAACTCTGTTCTCACTCATAAAACCTTCTCTAAAAGCTTTCTACAACCAGAGCCCACTACAATTCCTATTGTAGGTAGCAATATTCCAAGTTTCCTAAAGTTATCCTGCATCACTAAATACCAGTAGTGATGCACCACAAAGGATGGCAGAACAATATTTGGCTTCCTGGAACCACCACAGCGCCAGACATCTACCCAGAAATAAACCAAAGTGTCTATTGTACACCACAGACTGCTGCTACACCATGAAATTTATTGTTTTAAGTCCTTGTCAGTAAGATATTCCAATGACCTAGATAAGGCACTTTTGGTTACTTACACTTATTCTCTTATGGCAGCACTATGAATAATCTCCGTAAATTACTGCCATTAATTTTTACTGAAGAATTTTTTTATAAAAAGAAAAGAAAAGAAAAGAAAACAAATGGCTTCCATACTTCTACCCAAATGGGGTGCTCTAGGGTTTACTAGCCCTAGTTCATTCAATCTCCTTTCTTCTCCAAGTTAATGGTCTTTCCACTTTTGCTAATGCTATTAATTTGGTTGAATTAATTATTTCTTAGTCCGAGCCATAAGTTTCCAGATTAGAGTGATCCCCTCCAACCGTTATTGCCATAAATATATTTCTGTAATGTCTCTATTCAATAGAGTTGAGTTTATGAGAATTTCACCATGCATTCATGATTTCATATGAATTTTGCTTACCCCTTGTGCAAGGTGAGCTTTTCTTTCTTTTATCTTCTTATAATTCTTCTCCTTTTCTTCTTCACAAGGCATCCAAGTTAATATTTACCAGTACTATTCACAGCACTGAAGAAGACCAATTTCAGCCCTAAAACCCTAGCCTATTAATTCTTTACCAAACCCAAATCACTTCTAACTTTTAGCCTACAGTTAAAACCAAGCTAAATGCATCCCTCCATAAACGAAAAGCAAAAAAAATTCTTGGTCTAAAGCCACCAAAAGACCAATTGTTAAGTAGTTTTGTTAGAAGTTTCCTCTACACCACCAAGAGTTAAAATGTGGGGTCACCACCAACATCTAAAATGGCTTAGAGTTCAAGAAAACGGGGTGATCAAATGGCTTAGAATGCAAACCTTTTAATCCTACACAATTCAAATTGGAATATAAGGACAGCACATCAAACACACACACACACAGAGACCACAATAAAATTGGAATTTTATCCAGATTGACATGCATACCTCCCCACCCATTTGGACTTTAAGCAACACTCATGGTTAGTGTACCAGAATGGACAGAGTTCATAAAAGGACCCAGCTAAGATGTGGCACTCCAAAAGACATAATTGTGTAATGGAAAACAAACCTCATAAAGATCAACCTCTTCATCAGGAGCGTAGCCAGCCATTTCATTTAGTTTCAGTAGGATTTCTGTTGGCTTAGCCATAGCCTTCACAAACAGTCTTCCAACATAACTAGAATAGCAAAGAAAATAAATTGTAGGTCAAATCATTTGTAATTACTGAAAATTTGAAGAAAGTTATCAAATAAGTAGTTAACTACCGTAGCTCTTCTTTATCATAATCATAAAGCTTGAAAAAAAGCAAAACATCATCTTTTGTCTTGTTAGGAGGAGGAATAGGCTGTAAATCCTGAAAGACAAAGAATCAATAACACACAAAAGAAATTTAGAGCTATAAAAACAAAAATTGGTGCAAGAAAATTACCAGTCCAAGCTCCACTTCCAAGAACAACTTTAGTTCTGCATTGTGAACCTTATTGCACATCTCCCTCAACTGACCAACCTACAAAGCAATGCAAGGCACATTTAGTTTGAGGAGCACTTATTTATTTATTTATAGTTTGAATAGTCATCCGCATGAACCCGTAACATCTAGTCCCGCTAGAATTAAATGACTAGGATCGGGCAATAGATTATCACAAAGGTATTGGGAATTGGAAACTAAAAACAGATACTGTATAATCAAAACAAAATTAATGGATGTTGCGTTAACCAGAAAACAATACAGATCTAACACAGAAGTAATGAATTTAGAACTATAAAAATCCTAGTCAAATTCATCTTAGCATAAACAGGTAACATGAGAAACAAACTCCAACACATCAAGGGAAAACCACTAAAGGTATTGATGATGATGATGATGATGATGAAGGCTTTACCATATGGCAGTATATGAGGAAGAAGTTCAATAAATGACTTACTCAGCAAGGAATAAAGTTTGCATTTGATAATATAGCATAAAAACATAATCAATTACAAACCGAACAACATGGATTCTGTGAATCTAACATCACAGAAGTTATAGCTGATATACTTACTGGGTCATGTTGGATAAGTGTTGAGCAGTCTTCCTACAGATTGTGCACCAAAATTTTGTGAGGCAGCAGTTTAGGACTTTATTACAACCAATTATGGTTAGCTTTTGAGGTTGAAAGGTGGCCAATTATGGGTAGGGTTTTATGACAATGCGTAAGAAAGACAAGGAAGAAATTTTGGAACTAATCTAGGTTTTGGGAACAGTACCTGAGTACAGCAACTCTGTACTTTTGTGTGCTATAGTAATATAATTCAATGATTGGTTTGGCTAGGTCCAGAGGAGTTTAAAAACTAAAACAGAGAGTAAGGAAATCTAGATTGGGCATTGAAAGAGGCTTAAAATTGCAGAGAATTGAAAGAAAAAACTCTGGGGTTGGAAATTGAAATTGCATCACAAAAACCCATTAGAATTTCAAATCTTAATAAAATCCCCTAAAACATATTTACCTCAAATAATTACAAGAATCAAAATAGTACATACAAGCTTTAAGGATTTCCTACCCCAAATAGAACTAGGACTCTGAAATTGAGAACTAGACTTTAGAACTAACCTGTTGAATTCTAAAGTCCATCTAAACCAAATAATATTATTCAACATATAACTAATAAAGTTACCCCACTCTCTAACAGCTTAAGCTTTTTAGATGAGTTGGTTGTCATATCAACAATTCAACTTAGTCCTCATTTGGGAACAATTTAGTAACTTTTTGGCTATTAGGCTAAAATATGAACTTAAAAAAACTAGTATGTTTAGGATAACTTTTTGACTTTTTACGAAAAGATATGCAAAAAGTAGAGAGAAAAGAGAATCTTTGACTTTTTGGTCCTCTCTATAAAGAGACCCTATGTTGGCTTTCTCCTCTCTATAAAGAGAGTGTAAATCTCTTTGTAAATATATAGAATAATAGTGATAATTCAGTGTCTCTCTCTATCTTCTCTCACTCTCTCAATTTATCTTACAGATTTCCTACCCCGAATAGAACTAGGACTCTGAAATTGAGAACTAGACTTTAGAACTAACCTGTTGAATTCTAAAGTCCATCTAAACCAAATAATATTATTGAACATATAACTAATAAAGTTACCCCACTCTCTAACAGCTTAAGCTTTTTAGATGAGTTGGTTGTCATATCAACAATTCAACTTAGTCCTCATTTGGGAACAATTTAGTAACTTTTTGGCTATTAGGCTAAAATATGAACTAAAAAAAACTAGTATGTTTAGGATAACTTTTTGACTTTTTACGAAAAGATATGCAAAAAGTAGAGAAAAGAGAATCTTTGACTTTTTGGTATGGGTTGTTAGCTTTTTAGTTTTTTTAGTGACTTTTTAACTATTTGGCTAAACGGGACGCTTCCCAAACGAGGCCTTAGTATCAAAACAAGATCCAACCTTTCTTGTTCTTTTGTTTTTGTCATAATAATGTCAAAAAAGAAAAAAATAATATCCAGTATGATTGACTAGCATGTTTGCAGTGGCAGAACCAGGATTTTGCCTCCTCACATGAGAAAAAAAATAAAACCATAGAGTTACGTATTTCATACAAAAACAACAATAAATACACTTAACTCAAAAAACCAAAAAACATTTTCATCTATATACACGTAAATATCATAAAAATTTAAAGGGAAAATTGCAAAGACAGGGAAAGAAAAACAAAAAATTGCAAAATCATAGAAGAATCAATTTAAATTACAACAAAAGTAGGAAGATAAAAAATAATGACAAACATGTGAGGTCTAAATTTTGGAAGACAAAAATATCCCCCTCTGCCATTTCTCTCTTTCTTACTAGCAAAAACTGTAACCACCCTCCCCCAACCCCCAATCCCAACCTTCAGCCATGGCCAGTGAATAAGGGTTGCGATGTTTAGGGTTTTACGATCACAATCTAGAGGGGGGATGAGGTTGCGAGGAGAGATGGGTGAAGGAGGTTACATGCGTCCGGGAGGGAACACGGACGCATTGCAAAGGGTGGTGGAGTGGCTGGGAGTGTGGGACCAGGGAAGGACTTGGGAGCGTTGTGGTGGTGTTGGTGATGGCAGGCAGTGCTGGTTGGATGAAGGGTGGGGGCAGAGCTAGGGAAGGGTGGAGGGTGGTGGCAGTGGCAACACTCAAGGTGGCGCTAGCGGTGGATGGTGTTTTGTTGTCATAAGAAATAGAGGGATGGAAGCGTGAGAAAGAGGTGATGAAAAAAGGGGGAAATTTGTCAAATAACCCGTGTTTTTGTGATTATTTTTGTTCTTCCCATTGCTTGTAATTTTGGCATTCTTTCTATTACAACACTAAAAAGAGTACAATGCACAAAGGGAAGCGAAATTCAAAAGATTCAAACATAGCATTAAAAAGAAAATTATAGGGAATTTGTTAAAAAAATAAAATAAAACAAAGGTTATGAAGATTTAGGAGGGACATGTATGAAATTTTAGAGGGAGGCAAATTCAAATAATTTATCTTAATAATAAATAGAAGTTAAGGTTTAAAAATTTAGAGAGGGGGCACATACCCCCTAAGTCATCACATGGCTTCTCCACTGAGTGTAATGAGTACAACACCTAGAGGCTAGAGCCATAGATCCAAAATATTTTAGTACAACATCTTTAGATGATTCAGATTTTACTAGTCAAAGTTCTTACAACTCAAAACTTGTAAAATGGACTTCCTTGATTAAAAATGTGTCTGACATGTGTAGGTGGACATTCACCCAACAAGCATCCCTAACAATTCAAGTTTTCCATATAAATAAAGCATAAAACTCCCTTACTATGCCTGAAATGCTTTTCATAACCTTAAACATCATTTTATTCTGTAAAAAAATATTAACATTTGTCAAATCACCGTGTCCTTGGATATGGGAATTAGATGAATGCAACAATTGGATACCAATCCACACAAAATTCCTATTCATCTCCTGTACCCAAATCCATGTAACATAGTTTAGCAAAAGAGTCAAATCTCTCACACTTTTAAGCAGATTTTTAGTATCAATTGGCAACAGGTTATGAATTATCAAACATAATACTTTAATAGAAATTCAACATAAAACTTCCAAATTTAAGGGTATAATTCAGTTACAATAAAAACATGTCTATTAAATCTTTAAATACAACTAGATAACAGATCTTGAGAAATTTTCCAAGAATTATGCTCATTGAGGTTTGTGTGATACAATTCGACCTCTAACTGTTATGTTTTAAAGTTAGAGAATCTGGGTATGATGCCAAAAATATCTCCTTCAATTTTGGTTTTCTCCACTTTCAATAACCTGCAACCAAACCTAGTAACTAGCCCGTATCATATAAGATCCACACCATTTGACTTATAACATGTTATCTAGCATGTGAAAGATATGAAAAAGTAGAAGATGATTACAGTTTGTGTTTCCTCTAGACGTGTCAAAGGTCGGTTAGGTCGGTATGTATGGTTTTGGCGCTTTGCCCACAGCCAAAAACGCTGAAATTGCACAGGTATACCAAACTCTTTAGCAACCTCCTCCTGCATGCAGCTTCATAATTAGCCACAATCAAAACACACAAAAATTATGCAAATAATTTGATAACATGACAATTGAGTAATAACATAACATAGGTATCTTGTCAAGCACAGAGTTAAGGGTTGAAAAAATGATGTCACAAAGGCAAAATTTCCACTGTAACAAAGCATTTGATATTAATGCCACAAGAACATCTTCAAATAATTATGGTACATAAACAGACTAAAATAAACCAATGATGTAAGGAATGGAGTGTAATCATTAAATGCCATTGACCAATCTGGATCTTGCCAATGGATGTTACCAGGATGGGTGGATTGGATACCAAAATAATTTCATTATTTCTTTTAGCAAGAGGAAACTTTCAAATTCCAAGTTGCCTTCTCACACTTCAAGTCTTCAGCTTGCCATGACACCAAGAAACTGCGCCTAGATAGTGTACACTTGTCATTCAAATCAAATCCTAAACAAACTCCACATTCCTCTACGCTACAACATATCTTCCCAAGAATTCTTATACAAGTTAAATTCATAACCAAATGTCATTAGCATATTCAACAACTTCACAGCTTGTCTATCAAATGTCATTAACAAAACAAATGTCACTAACAAAACAAACAGACCTCCTTTAATAAGACATCTCCTATGCAACACCAAGGCAACAATAATGTCCTTAACATTTTTCTATTGATTCATAATATTTCACATGTTCCATGAGAAGGGAAAAAAATTTGAAACACAAAAAAGAGCAAGCGCACAGAGTAATATGCTCATCATTCTTGAACTTTGCGATTACAATGCATTGCCAATTACTCTACACAATGTTGAAAAATCTCTGTCAAACAAACTCAATGCACTTAGTGTTATCAAAGGTGTGCCTAGGTACACACATAGCCCCAAGGCGCACTTGAGGTGCCTCAGCACTTCAGAGGCAAGGTGACTTTAATGTTGCAGTCAAGGAGCTCAAGGCAGGTGAGACGCAAGACACACTTCTACTTCAATTGTGCCTAATTTGTTAAAGACATGATGTCAACCCCTTGATCTAATAAAGCCCATTATAGTTTTTCATGTTGCTCACATCCTATCAAAACCCCCCTAATAAATAGATAGCCTATGTTACATAGACTCTTCCAAATAAATCAAATACTCGTGTCTGACACCCAACACTCAGATAAGGGTGTTGGGTATGTGTTCGATACTTTCCATTGGACATTTCTCATATATTTGTATTTAAGACTATCTTACATGTATCCTCTGTTGTGTAATTGCTATAAAACACCTTTTTGACGTTATATGTTACATATAGTACCATTTTATCTCACATAATAGATTAAATATAAAAAAATATGACTCTTTTTTGCCGAGTCCGACCTCTAAATATACACCCGCACCGAACACCCATACCCGAGTCCATGTAACATAGTAGATGGCCTCAATCCCAAACAACAAATCGAAGATAAATGCATAAACTTTTATATTTTGACTTACATACCATTATTTTTTGTTTTGTTAATTGTTAAATAATTTAATTTGCTTAATTGGTTTTTTATTTACCTAATTGTTTAAATATTTAATTTCTTAAATAAATACTTGGTTTTTTATTTACCTTCTTTGTTTAAATATTTAATACTTAATTGATTTATTTTATAATTGCTAAATCGCTTTTAATTGTTCAGTGTGAATTTACTCCATTTGACATCGATGATGTGGTGCAAGTTATTAAGCACAATGTAATGTGTCGAATGATAATAATCTCATATTAAAATACAAAGTCTCATCAGTTAGTACATGGTAGATAAAACACAATAAATTTCTCATACAAAAAATAATAATGTTTTCATTCGGGCAATTCAGGCGGAGCAAAATTCGGTGGATGTAGCAGTATTGTACAAAAAATTATGCAATATCTATAAAATGCGCTTCGCTTTGATGAAGCCTGCACCTCGTCTCACACCTAGGCCCCTAGAGACCTTGGGACCTTAGTGCACGTCTGACCTTAAAAAACACTAGATGCACTTAACACCAACCAGAAGATCGCCTTTAAAATCAATTGATGAACCAATCTGATTAAGAACCTAATGATCATGGGATCCAGCTAAAAGTTTAAAATTAACATGAGAGAGAGAGAGAGAGAGAGGTCAAAATGCAATCAAAGAGCACTCAGGCGACACAACAAACTGTGGCATCCATGCACAGCTAGGTTTAGGAAAAACTATAAATGGGGTACCTCACTTGGTTCTATTTTATTTTATTTTTTGGATAAATACCTCTCCCTTGATTCTATGACAAAAATAATTATTCTCTCAAAAGCCCTAGCCTCTCTTAAGCCCTAGAAAATGTAGGAAACTTATGCCCTTTTTATTTAGAGAAGACCTGATGTTTTCTTCATGAAAACTTATTTCCAAAACTGTATTGTGATGGTTTTTGCCCAAAAACCACACACGTTGCGAACACTAAAATCAATCTTGGTGCATTAGTTGGTCCTGCTCATTGACCAATTACTATAGGAGCTACGTAGCTTAGATCTAGAAAAGAGAAGACCAACAAGAGTTTGAAAGTCACTTGTGAATGGAGATCGAACTCGCAAGTTCAAGGCATATGGTCATAGAGTCTAGTGCAAGCTGGGTTAGGCTTGTAAGTCATTAACCTAGTCTCGAAAATTCTCTCTTGTTCAAGCAGATTCTCACCAGCAAGTTGCCTCATGGTTTTTCCCATGGGAATGTTGTGTCGAAAGTTTTCCATGTACGTAATGCGTTCTTATTATTGACTTATTTACTGCAATATTGTGTCATTTCCCTTGATTGCAAGATTGACATAAATTGGAATTAACAATGTGATTAACTTGATTAATCCACTATGGAGCACTCCAAATTTTCAACTCTCTTCCGGATCTATAATACTGACCCCTACTCCTCCAAAGCCCCTTACTTGGAGCAACTATTCTTTGCTACAAGTATCACAAACAACGACTACACAGCTATTTCCAAAACAATCCCAAGAATTTGCTAAAAGCTTTTATTATCTTCATCATCTTCACCCAATCTGAGACATCCCTTTTGGTCATCCCCAGCCTCCTCCAAACTTCCAGCTTTAGAACTAGATCTATCTGTGGCCCAAGATAGTCGCTGGTGTGCACATAACTGGATGCAATAGATCCCTTCCTCACCCTCAACCCCATACAGCATCTCTATACCCTGTTCCATAGCCCCACTACTACTCAGTTAAAACCCAACCCCCATTGACATATACAAATAAATAAATAAAATCCCCAACAGCAAGGCCCCCTAGCCCTTCGTCTCCCTCAACATCAGAGAAAGCTAGAACTCCCCATTGATTGGAAAGAGCAATGGCTTCTCCCTCCTCCTCCTCCTCCTCCCTTGGAATGATCGTCAAAGAGTCTCATTGATGTAGCACCAAGGAGGGAAGAAGAACAAAGGACGAAACAAATGGGGAACCAATCCCAAATCAATATCGCAATAATCAATACTCAAAATCACATTCCTGTCCGATAAAACCATTACCCAAAAATCATGTATGTAGGCAAAAGTACTAGCTACTTAGGAAACCAAACAACATAAGAAACCAGCCATTAAAGAAACAAATCTTATTTAAAACATAATTCCTAATTATAATAAAATTCCTATATTCTTAATTTATTGTCATCCAATGGCTTTTCATTCCCCATCACTCAACTTCTTCCCCAACACATAGAGCAGCCACTTGCACTTGCATCATCTTTTCCACGAGAGTTGACACTCCTCTCAAACATTCCTGACCCAAAGCAGACACCAAATCCTCAGAGAACACCAACACCTTCCTCTCTATGGGCATGAGCCAGAGCACATGAGAACTTGACATCAAACAAACTTAAGTCCTCCCCTTGCAGCAGAGATAATCACCTCAACCAAATTTCTTGATAAACAACCTTTTACCTATACACAGAGACTAAAAACACCTTCACCCTTTTTCCCTTTGCCACCGTCAACTACTTTTCTAACTGATTGTTGTTTTTGCTCCCCACCCCACTTCACAGTCATCATTCTTCAGACCGTTGCCCCATGAAACTCCCTCTCAAAACAGAAACTAGGCTCTCAAAAGAAAAAATGGAAATGGTAGCTGTATCAGAAATAGAGATGTCCTTAGAAGGTGTTGGTTCCATGACTTCTCTCTCTTTATGATGTTCATTGAATCCCTCAAGTATATCATTGCATTTGATCTCTATTAGTCAACTTTGTGACATTGCTTGACAGTTGTCAAATCGAGATACAAATTGTACATCATATTTTTTAAATAGTGTATCGTATTTTGTCACATCATTAAAAAAAATTAACTTCTTTAAAAATAGGTAGAAAAATAAATATATTTCAACAAAACATAAACAATTTATGAAAACAAATCATTAAATAACATATAATCATATTGTGAGAGGAGGCATACTTCCTGGAAGTGGCAGTACTTGTCTAAGGGAGAAGAATAACTTTGATCAAGAGCAGTTTAACGGAAGTTGCGTGTGTAAAGAGTTTGGGGAATCAGTGAACCATCTCCTCCATTGCTCGGTGGCTAGCAAGATATGGATTTTGTTGTTCTCTTGGATTTTGTTGTTTTCAATTATTGAAGTATCTTGAGTTATGATTGAGTCACTTAAGGATCTTTTCGTCTCTTGGGGTGAAGGTTGTCCAAGAAGCCGTTGAGAAAGGCATGGAATACAGCAACTTCATGTGTTATATGAACAGTGTGGAGAGAGCACAAGAAGAGATCATTTGATGAGTTGAGATCTCCATTAGTAGTTTAAAAGGATTTGTACTCTACTCTTTGTTTTTGTGACTCAGACAGGAGTGCCCCATTTTTATTGATTTTGTCGGTTCAGTTTATTGGTGATCTATTGTTGTTTATATAGGGCCCCCTTTAGAGCAGTTTTGATTAATAAATTTACTTATCAAAAAAAAAAATCTCTTTGTTATTAAAAACCCCAACCTCATGACATCATGATGCATAATTACAACCAAGGACACTTGGTCACCCCAACAAAACTCATCTTGGCGGGATACATGAACCACAAAGGAAATTTTAGCCTTGTCTCCTCCAAGCCTTTCAGATATGGAGGAAGTTTCACTGAAATGCCTGAAGGAATCTACAGAAATAAGAATACATAAATCCAGGACATCCTCATAATGTCACCTAGAGATAGAAGAAATTAGTGGAGGCCCTTGACATTAGAAAATTCACATTTCTTGATCAACAAAATGTAGAGTTTTGTGTGTTCCTAGATCTGCAAACTCAAAAGGCTACTATCCAACTAAGCAAACAATTTTGAGATACTTAAGAACAGTATCTTACTAGTTCTTGTGTAGTTCGGTTTCTCTGTTTTTCTCAGTTTCTGCTTTTCCTAGTATCCTCTTCTTCTGTACAACTCTCTGATCTCTCACACATGAATTTGGTCCTATTTTTCTATTTCCAGTAGTAATGTACTATACTCTTCACAAATAGAGAAAGGCATATACTGAATCAGTACCTTGAAAATGTTAAAAGGCATCTGCTTCTGAATACGAAAGCTCCTAACTTTGTCATGGTCAACAAGATCAAAATATATATCCCTTCCAATCTGCTCTACAATGTCTTCATCACGTGCAACCTAAATGCATCACATAACTCTTCAGTAAAGAATGGTCAGTTGGGATTACCAGTTATGCTAAACAGTATCCTGTTCAGAAGCAAGATTGATGGCAGTAACCTTTATTATAGTATACAGGTGAGCCTCAGCTTTTTCTTTTTTCTTGATCTCTTTTTCTTCTTGCTCCCTCTTCAACCTTTCCTGGGATATGCCATTAATGTAACTACGAAACATTCTAAAATGGAGGATAGATAAATTAAATTGATGACATACAATACCAGAATCTCACCCTAAGATGTTCAGCAATGTCCTTCTCATCCACATTACAAATTATTTTCTCCTTGTCACTTTCGCGTATATACACCAACATGTATGCATTTGAGTACTTCGTGAATTTAAAGGGAGCATTATTTAATCCAGGTTTTGTCTGAGGTAACTGTCACATTGTAAGCAAGTAAAAGAGGTTAAGAAAATGTGGCACAAGAATAATCACAAAATTGCCAGCGATCATAGTGAAAGCATAACCTCTTCTTCACCACCATACTGCTCCTCTAAAGCCCTCTTGATATCTTCTTTTGTCACCCGTTCATCATCAAATTTATACCTGAAAGTATATCACATTTTATGGCACAACAAACAAACTGTGGAAGATGTGATTCATCACCACAAAAAAGTGGTGTAAGGTGCTAACTTTTGCACTTTAGTCTCTCCATGTGAACATCAAATTTAAAAAATCTCTAGAATAAACAAATTGCAATCTTCTGCTTGGGTATTATATTGCTATGATGCAAAGAAGAAAAAAGGGACTGACAAGGTTCCTGAAAGGATTGAGAATTTTTCATATACTGGATAACTACAAATGGAGGGTGCAAAAACATTAAAAGCACAACGCAACCCACCAATTATGTGGTATAAATCCTCCTCTAGCCATGTATCTTTACAAGCATATTGCTAAGGAGTGTGATCCCAGAACAAGTCAATAGGAATGTGATCCCAGAACAAGTCAATAATCCAACCTGAAGTGTGGACTCTGGTACACCACAGCTGCTCAGATTGCACAAGGACAATGAATATTATGACCACCAATGGATGGAACTTATAGTTCATGCATTATGTTATACAAAGATCCAAGTCTAGCAAACGCTAAGAACTCCATGACCAATTTTCATACTACTTTTTAAACCATGAATTTAGCAGCTAAGCATTATCAAATTATAAAGATGATGGATAGCTTTTTTACAAGCATATAGAAGACAGATAATTCTATTTAGAAAGTTCTTTGTTGTTTACAGATCTTCTTCATACAAAAAAGAATATTCTGTATATAGTTATATAGAAAAGTTGCCCATGACTTATTTTAAACAAGCATGTTATTGTAACATGCAGCATGTGTCAATGTAAGGAACTAAATAGCACAGCAAGACTGATAGTTATTATGTGTGTATGTGCATCTGGATGTGCAACTGAACATTGAATGCTTACCACTGATCAGAAAGAGTTGGCCTTATAAAGGCATAATAATGTCCACCATGCACCCCACCACTGTGGACTAAAACACTGCAAACAAACTCAAATTTGTAAGAACAAAACAAAATTCAGCATATCATATACAAACAGTAAAAAAATAACACAAAAATAAATAAATAAGGATCTACATACATCACAAGATGCATCAGACATCAGTAAGCCACACGTTAGCCTTTTCCTCTTTTGAACAAACAACATTATTTGCATGAGACCAAAACCATGTACATGCAAAAGTGTACATACAAACTAAAAAGAGCCAAATATATATATATATATATACAAATATTATCTGGAGAAAAGAAAATTTCTGCACTGAAAAGAAAAGCACCGCCCAAAACTCTACACATTATCTGGAGAAAAGGAAAGCTCTCCTCAACTAAAGATAAATAAAAAGTTACAAATATTCATGTCAATTTATGCACTGAGGTATTCAAATTGGTTAAGTATTATTGGAAATCAATCAAGCACAATATTTCACATTATGTAGTTAGAACTAGTATGGTTGTTATGTTTAGCGCCATAAGAGTTAGTTAGAGTTAGTTGGGTCTTCTATCCTATAAATAGGTGGCTAGGCTCCTGGGATTAATGATATTTTGATATTGAATATTTCAGAGCTTGAGAGCTCTGGTATCCCAATTTGGGACTCTCTCTCTCTCTCTAATGAAATCTCTTTCTTGATTTGGCTCCATCACCACATCTTTTCATATTTTTCCTGCCCATCTGCTATTTGGAAGAAATTACAATCCCCTCCAATTAAAAGCGATTCAATGAATTATTAATCATTAATCACAACCTGAAAAGGCTAAATTGAATTGTGGCAGTGTATGGATACACAAAATGATTCCTTTGTCCATCACAGAAATAATTAATCATCAAAAATCCTATGGCAAATTTACCCCCAAGTGGTTTGGCTACTGTGGTTTTCATTTGGAAATAAGGACATAGCCCGTTGTGGTTTGTGAATCGAAGTGCACCGTCAGTTTTTCCACCCAAGTTAACATCATGTGAGGGATGTGTGCCTATCAGGAGAGTAAACTATTTTTTAAGACAAAAATACCCCATATACATCTTTAAAATTTCAGAAGAATGCCATTTTCTTCCCCTCTCTACCATCGTGGTGGTGGGAACGGAATAGAGTGACAATTGGTGATGGTTATTTTGTTGGTTTTTATATAAATATATATTTAATTCCGAAGGGATGAAGAGAAGAAGAAGATGATATATGTGTGTGTATTAGGGTTTAGTTCATAAGATGAGAAAGGAAGAATGTAAAGGCATTTTGGTCATTTTACAGGTGTTGTCAATTGATTTTAGTGGTGCACTTTGATCCACAAAGTACAGGGGGCTGTGTGCTTATTTCAAAATGACAAGGAGATCATTTGCACATGGGGCAAGCCATAAGGGGTTAAAGTGAAATTTGCCCAAATTCCTAATGAGGATACACAAGGAAAACTCATAGCTTCAATTCAGATGATAAACCAATACTAGAAATATTCCGAGATTAAACAATTTTAATAAGACAATGCCTTATGGTGGCAATAACAAAGTCTGTACCACCACATAAGTGATGTGAATCTGAAGACACAAAGAATTCCTAAATAGGCCATGTATTCACATTTATTATGGTTCAACCATGCAGAAAGGTAAACATCCATAGCTTATCAATCGGCAGAGAGTAACGAAGACATTAACTATTACTTACCATAAGGAATAGAAACAATTACTCCAAACCAGGGGAAGAAGAGGAAGAGAGAGCACCATAAAATTAAGCTAGGCAATTCACTGACTATAAACTAGATGGCATAAACTAAGATTTCAAGTACCTGTGAAGTGTGTAGAGGTTTCGAATGCTCCTATTGGCTTCGGGTGACAAGTATTTTCCATTCTCTCGATCAAGATCAAGTTGCGAAGGGAACTCATAATGGTCATTAATCTGTAGCGCAAGAGTAAATGGAAGAATTATATAAAAGAATAACATAATCCATCAAAGAAAGTTCCATTATCCAGAATAATATTTTCAGCCATCATTTAAAGGCACACACGAGATGATTCCCAAGTACTCAATAGTTAAATAATTCATTAAATTGATTTCTATAATTGAAGTTATTATTCAAATCGGGAAACATGAGTGTCATATAAATCAATAGACATCTGTTTGATAACTCAGCCTTCACCAGGTCATATATAGTTGATGGCTACAAATGTAAAACTGAAAGGAAAACATAATAAAAAGAAGACAAATAGGGAACCATTAATGTGTCAACAACATTAACACATGGATTCCAACAAAAAAGATATAACACCAGTAGTGTCAAGCAAAGCAAGTGCATTCTGCAGATAACAGATCATGAGGCTTGCAGAAGTAAAGCAATTACAACAGCTTTTAAAAGGTTATCTTGCCCAGAATAAGGATGAATTTGTACAAAACAAAAACGACATTTATCATAGAGAAAAATTCATTACTTTACCTCCTTATGGTAATTGAAAAGTTCAGCCCACACTTCTCCTTAAAACCCAGGTATTAAGGAGAGGGAAACTGAAGCCTCAAAACCAACACAGATGGGGCAACTCTAGGCGATGTAGGACACATTCCAACACACACTCTTGGACCACAACATACAGTAGCTGGATAAACGACACACCAGTCACAGGCCCAACCAAGCTTTGATACCAAATTGAAAAGCCCAGCCCACACTTCTCCTTAAAACCCAGGAATTAAGAAGAGGGACACTGGAACGTTATAACAAGCACAGATGGGTCAACTCCAGGCGATGTGGAACACATTCCAACAATGGTTTGAGCTCTAAACACATAGCCAGACAGGCGGTGGAGCATTCATTAGTAGGGGTTGTGTTAGCCTACAGGGAGGATGAAGCGTTCTATGCTTACCGGACTGTGAGATGGAAGTAGAAAGGGTAGACAAAGCCAATAAAGACAAACGAGTTTAGGATGAAAGCAAATGATTGTGATCCCATGGGGAATCATGGGCCGTGACTATGACCACTTAGTTTTCTATACTATCGGACTCTGAGACAGTACAAAGACGACGTGGTTATGGGATACAAATAGCTCTGATATGCCCTAAGGAATTCTCACATTCATGGATTCCTATTTCTATCATGATTAAAATATAGGCAGGAAGACTCCTTTTGGCTTTGGATTAAACTGCAACAGTTACTTTTTCTGTCCAAACTAATGGAAGGTGTAATACACTTGCCATTTTTGAAAGTGGGCATAAATTTTTCTTGAAATTAAAGTAAAATAAAAAATGTAAAAAGTCATTTCTACACTTCATCTTCATCGTCCCTTCATTTCATCATCTACCATCAAACCCTAAACCACCCCGCCACCTCACCTTGCCTCCATGACCACCGTTATTGCCCCTCTCCCTTTTTCGACCCCCACAGTTGCCCTCTCTCACCTTCCCAATTGTCACCAACATCCCGTCTCTAGTCCCCACCCACAATCGTTTCTCATGTTCCCCGTCTTTTTTGCAGACACTGGAAAAGTGTGTATCCCTATTTTTAGGAACTGTTGGGGTGAAGCTTTTTGAAGAGCACACCTTCGATTGAACTAACTGTACCCGCAACGGATTTTATTGTAAAAGATTACATGGTGATTACTACGAGGATAAAAGACAAATTGTATTGTACAATTTGTTGTTAACATGAGAGATCTTCACGAGGCTCATATCTGATTCTCTTCCAGATCTAAACTCACAAATCTCCAACCCATATTTTCAATTAGACCACCAAATTAAAGAATTAAATATCATTTTTCATATATAAGTAGTTGCATATAAATGTATAGACATATGTATAAGTATACATGCCAAATTTGAAACTAAATTTAAAAGTTAAATAAATATGATTCTTTGTTTTTTTGGGGATAATAAATATGATTTTTAATTAAGTTAAAAAATTAATAAATTTTTGCAACAAAAAAAAAATTCTAAATAAGTTAAAAGGTAGTAAAATCAGACTTTTTTTTTTTTGGTTATAAAAAAATCAATATTTAAATTAAGTTTTTTTATTTTTTATTTTTTGCAAGAATAATTTGTGGGAGAAGACTAAATGTCTTTTTACTATAAAACTTAACGGAACTAGTATTGCAATTTAGTCTAAAATCATAAAGAGGTCTCTACTTATATTTGAATCATAAGGGGGTAAAGTGCTCTCGCCCGTAACCAAAAAGGGGATGAAGTGAACTTTTTCATTTTATTACAAGTTAAACTACACTAGAATAGCATAAATAAGAGCATGATCAAACATATGGGAATAATTTTGTCAGCTTCATGTGAGAATAGAACATCGTAAGGCATGAAGTTTTTCTTACAACCCAAAACACACCAAAAGTGGTGCAACCTCTGTACACCAGGTGTATACAATCCATCTATAAGGCTTCACCAGGGGACTGTTCTCCCAAAAAGTCTAAAAGTGCAAAAGAAGATTTACAAAAATTTCCTTCGAGTCAAATGAAAAACATGGATTAAAGTGGACTTTAATCTATGTACAGACAAACTTCTCAAAAGTCCACCTATTTCATTATTTCATTCCCTACGCCCTCCACATTAGGCACATAAGTGCCACCTTCAAAGCTTTCAGGACACTCCTGGATGAACACCCACCTGCCCAAGGTTGACTAAGCATTTAGAGAAAGGGCAGCATTATCCAATTAACACCAAAAATGAAGAGAAGCAAACTGCATAGCACTCTCATCACCTCACAGTGGAGAAGTGGTCCACTGATTCCGTCCCTTTGTGGCACATGCAGCACAAAATAAGAAGCAAGAAACCTCTCCTCACCAGGTTGTACTAGCGAGGATAGAATCAAGAGCTGCTGTCCAAACCCAAAAAAACAAGACACCTTCGATGGCACCCCTGACTTGCAAATACTTCCCCAATAAAAAAATGTTACTTGATCCACCAACAAGACTAGAATGGAAAGAATTACCTAAAAACCTCCCATTTCCACCATTCCATCTCATCGCATTCTCCCCATTCCAATCAATCTCAAACACTATATAGAAGCTATAAAAATTCATTAACAGCCTCTAACTCCCAATCCTAGATAGGCCAAATGAAGTGCAGTTCGTGCAGTTCCCAAACCACCCTTGCTTCAAAAATCCTCAAATAGTTTGATACCTACGCTTCCTTGTCAGCTACTATATGATATCACTCCAGAAATGTCCTCATTAAAGAGGTATCCATAGACCATGGGTGTGTTTGGTTTGGTTTTGGGAGATAAATTTTCAAAAAAAAAAATTTAGGTAAAGAGTTTAAAATTTTTTTTGGTTTGTGTGATTGTATATTTTGGAAATAGTTTTGGAGTGTGAGAGTTTGGGATGATTTGATATTTTGTTATAGTCGAGTAGATGTGTGTGAGAGAAAAAATGATTGAGAAAAAGAGAGAGAAAAAGTGATCGATTGATGTGTAGGAGATAGAAAGTAATTTTGGAAAAAAAATTTCAAAATTACTAAACCAAACAAAATTTTAGAAAATTTTCTCCATAATTTGTTTCTCAAAAACAAACCAAACAAGGCCCATATATTCTTCCAACAGTTAATCCTTCTCCCAGTCCTCAATGACAAAGCTCACATGTCTAATGAAATCTTCCCAACCCTTCCTTATCCCCTTCCAAAGCCCAACTCAATCTGAGTTCCAAACCTTGGAGGTCTAACCCCCACCTCCATGCCATATTTAGAATGTAGGACTCTCCTCTATAAACATCCATACTCAGTAGCAAACCTCCACAACCACTTTCCCAAAAGAGTTTGATTGAAGTCGTGCAAATGTCTAATGCCCTAACTAGCTTCTTTCATTAGGCTACAAACCCAATCTCATTTCACCTATGTTACATGGACTCAGGTACAGGTGCAAGTGTCGGACACATCAAACTTTAAATTTTAGGATATGCAGGCTTGACAAAACACGATCCAAAAAATATATGGATATGGGGATACGTCTCATTGGGAAAGAAATTAATTTATATATGTAAAAACATAGGGTGTGTTTGGTTTAGTTTTGGGAGATAAATTTTCAGAAAAAATCTTGAGGAAAGAGTTTAGAAATTTTTTGGGTTTGTTTGGTTGTATATTTTGGAAATAGTTTTGGAGTGTAGGAGTTTGGAATGATTTGATATTTTGTTGTAGTTGAGTAGATATGTGTGAGAGAAAAAGTAATTGAGAAAGAGAGAGAAAAGAGAAAAAGTGATTGATTGATATGTAGGAGATAGAAAGTGATTTTGAAATTTTTTTTTCCAAAATCACAAAACCAAACAAATTTTAGAAAAATTTCTCCAAAATTTATTTCTCAAAAACAAACCAAACAAAGCCATAATTTTTTTTTTTTTTTGGATAAATAATATGTAAAAAAATAATTTATTCATGATAAATCTTTTTATATACAAAGATTTTACCATAGTGTTAATATATTGGCAATGTAAAATATAGAATACAATGATTTTACTATATCGGTAATGATTTTACTCCAAATTTTATTTTCTACTCAAAAAAAAAAAAAAAAAAATGAAAGTATCTATCCATTTCAAAACAGAAGGATCATATTCGTATCCCATATCTTGTACCTGTAAGATACCCCTGTCAGGTCAGGTTGAGACTGATACTTACCAAAACTAAAGAGCCCATGTAACAAAGCAATTCACTAGGTGAAACTTAAAACTTTCTCCCAAACTACTACAAAAAAATTCCTGTTAAAACTTCTCCAATCTTTCTGAATCAGGGATGGTCAAAAGAGAAAAAGACAAAGTATGTAAGTAAGCTCGCCAGGGTATTGCTGATGAGTGTGAGCTTCCATCCCACCAATCTCCTTTCAACCTCATTAGCCAACATTGTTGTAACATTAAAAAAGAGACAAGAACCACACTACTCCTACTGGAATCAATTCACTCTCTCCCAACATCCATTTTTAACGA